CCCTTGGGTATAAATAAAGTAACCTAACCTAACTGACATGAGGGAGACGTCCGGCACACATTGAATGCATCACTTTGTTTCATCACAGCAGAGTTCTGCTCCACCTCTTTGATTCTAATGGACCGGATTAATTTCTGAAAACTCAGATCTGAGCAGGACATGGACGCGTTACCTGTGATTTATGAATTGTTTTGAGTTGTGGTCACTGACAACGTTGTCACATTACAGACAGTCTTAGAGTGTCAGAGACAGCAGTTCGGGTTACCGGCAAGTCATGATAAGTCAAGTCAAATTTATTTATAAAGCACATTTAAAACGGCAGCTTTTAGCAAAGTGCTTAACACTAAAAATCAATGGGAGTAATTCAATGGAAAAAATAAAAGTAAAACTAATAATCAATCAACCTTTATTTATACAGGTAAATCCCATTGAGCCTCGAGGACTCATTTACAAGAGAGACCTGATAAATAATAGTACTGAAAATTAATTAAAAGCATCAAAAGAAAACCATAGAAACACAGAATAATAAAATAATAAATCAAAATCACACTGTAAAAAGCCACATAGAAAACAGATGTGTTTTTGGCAGAGACTTAACAACAGGAAGTGAAATGTAATCTGTCTAATGTTGGGGGGCAGATTGTTCCAGAGTTCAGGGCCCACGACTGAAAAAGCCCAATCACCTTTGAGCTTCAACCAAAAGCAGCAGGTCAGATCATCACAGGGCCCGAGAAAGAACATATGGTTGAAGTAGCTCAGAGAGATAAAAGTTAGTGCTTTAGCATTTTTATCTGTTTAGCGGTTTAGCATTAGCAAAGCACATTTTTTTAGTTCGCAAATTAGCAGCTAGCGAAGCTAATATTTTGTTTAGCTGTGCCCAACACTTATGGTTCCAAGTGAACTGCTCTGAGATGATGATTCTGACGTAAGCAGACGGCAGCTGTTGATTGGCCAGTGGAGCTGCGTCACTGAAGAACACGCCCAGAAAAACTGACAACTGTCAGAGATGATGGAAACATGGCTACACGTGGACTAATAAACAGTGTTGAGATTAGCTAAATAAATTAAAGACTGATTATAGCGTGATTAAGGAGCACAACAGGAGTGGCTCGAACACAATGACCAGTTATGACCCCGCCCACAGAGCGAGGAAACAAGTCACCGTGGCCGATCACCTCCACTGGAGAAGAACCAAGAAGAGCAGAGTGAGGCCACTCATGGATGTCGACGTGTCTGTGGAGTCCTCACCCTCTCTGTAGAAGACACAGGTACGCGCTCTGCAGCGCCGCTTGCAGGAAGTAACCGAGGTCCACATCGACGGCTGAAACACCAGAACTGGCTCTGGTTGATCTGGTGTGAGGTGTTGTGACCATCTGAAGACAAAAAGTTAATAAACGTTAAATTTAAACTTTAATGTCTGTTTTGATCTTTTCGTTGCAGAAAAATGTAAAAATAATCTAGATAGGTACGAAAAAGTGATTCCAGCTGGTTTTTATTTTGTTCTTCAACACAAAAAACTTTATATTCCAAATCAGAAGTAAAAATATAAATAACTCAGAAAGTAAGAAGAACTAGACATGGTGTCTCCTGAGGCAGCTGGATTTTAGATCAAGATTCAAGGTTCTTTATTCGCATCACGTGATACATGAGGTGGAATGAAATAGTGTACTCAAGGTCCCAGCTACATCCCAAAATAGCAAAAAAATAAAGTATAAAAATAGAAACAGTATATAAGGATCTAAGATATACACTAAACAATAATAATGTAATATAATACGATATATTAAACAGCAGCCTGAACATGAGTCTGCTGTGAGCAGATGGTATGAATACAGCAGCTTAAAGGCAAGAGATCAGCAGCATGTATAATCAGCAGCACAGATAAAGTCACATATTGAACACCTGCACTCTGTATGTCTGAAAACCAACCTTCTCCAGCTCCTGCAGGTAGGACAGAGCTGCGTCACATGCTCGGAGGAAACAACACAGACTCTCCTCCTCCCGCTCCAAAAGGCGGACACGAGACACAGAGGACGCCGTCTGATGGTCCAGAGAAAGACCTGAAGGACGGGGGTCGGGAACCAACACATAAACTTTAGAGGAGTTTAAAAGAATAGAGCTGCAGCCAATTTTGAGTTTATAGATGAGTGAGCATTCATTCCACCTTTATTTCTACAGGTTGGTCTCACTGAGCCTCAAGGACTCATCTACAAGAGAGACCTGATTAAACAGAGAACACAGACGAGGTACAGACAGCAACAATCATTTAAAATCAGAAGTAAATAGAATAAATTAAATAAAAATGAAACAAACACAGCTACATTATAAAGC